GGATGGATGGATGGATGGATGGATGGATGGATGGATGGATGTAATGTTTCTGCCCCAAAAACAATTATGACGTTGGAATTGATCGTGCTTCTATGAACGTCAGTGCTCTGATCATTGTTTTCTTCTCCATCTGCAGCGATACATTGCAAATGAAGACTCCTTGGATGGGGAGAGGAAGGATCTCAAAGGTCGAGTGGCGACTCTAGAGTCACACTCGCGTCAGCTGGAGCTAAAAACAAGAAACTATGCGGACCAAAGTAAGTGTATTGTATTGGAAAAAATGTGAGGCTCACACAAGCTCCGTTGTCGGCCGCTTTCTAATCTTGTGACGATGGACGGCTGTTGTGCCAGAGGGACGATGGACGGTCGTCAGTGTTTTTGAATAACACTGGGCAATATTGTTTTTGCAACCGGGACACTTCATGAACTGTAATAAAATATTCTGGGTCAAACAAACAAACTAGCAAACAAACCACGCAATAGACAGAAATAAGAGACTGATTTGGAAACTGACCAATTAGAAATACAGGACATGTTTAAGAACATCACAACACTGGGAGATAATCTTCAGAGGCCGTCAAGCAAAAGCCCTCATGATATGTGCGTGACTGCCTTATTGACAGCGCGTGACCGCTTGTTTGTTTCGACGAGACATTGTAACAGTTTTTTTTTTTTTTTAATGAAGGGAAACATTTTGCCGCGCGTATTGCAGTGTGACACTTCTTCTTTTCCCGTTTGTGTCACATTTGGAGTTTCACTTGTCATACATTCTGTTTGCTGGCAGAATTGGGAGCAGTGTGTGCTAAGTCAGCATGCTGTTGGAGTGCAGTCCAATCAGTGCTCTTGAAGCAAAAGTCTTTTATGGCTTTTATTTACTGTAACTTAATAAATCGAGGTACTTTACCTAAATGTGTTCACCAGTCAGGCGATCGCTCTCTATGCTGATGTTTGCCAAGGATTGTTAAAGGCTGACAAAAGCAAACGTCCTTGGATCAGTTCTTTACAAAATACCAGGCAAAACCACTTCTGAGAGAGAACATGAACTAAAGAGGGCAAAAAACCCCAATGAGGACAGAGTGAAAAGTTAAATGACCATCATTGTTATTCTTTACTCTATTCTTTTGTGCAATAATCAGATTCAGGGGTCGGCAACCCAAAAATCTTGAAAGAGCCATATAGGACAAAAAAACCCAAAAAACAAATATGTCGAGAGCCGCAAAAAATAAAAGCCTTCTATAAAACTTACAATGAAGGACTGTCTCAGAATTGTTTGTTCTTCATTCCTTTGTTGTCTGTTCACAAACGCCCCCATAGAATTTATTTTGTGATTACCTCGCTTGATTTTTTGTTTTGGTGCATTATTTTCACTTTTCTTAGTGTCAGTGAAGTGATCATTAATTTCCGTTTTTCGGAGGCTGTCTTTGAACGCCTCTCGAGTTGAACGAGAAGAGAGAAGGCACGGAGTCTGACGCAGACGTGTCTGTGTTTGTCGAGACTGTTAAAAGCATAAATAAAGTGTACGTTTTCAAAAACCAACACCACAGCTCTCCTTTTTCGGAGCTGCAACATGTACTGTATCTATATCTATTTGAGCTATATTAGACTACTATCAAAATCTTTTTCCATTTCCAAACATTTTTTATAAAGCTCCAGGGAGCCACTAGATGTCGCTAAAGAGCCGCATGCGGCTCTGGAGCCGTGTGTTGCCGACCCCCGATCTAATTGTAACATGTATTTGTTACATATTTTGATGCATTTTTATGCTTTAGAAAACATTTGTCTGAATTGGGGGGGCTTGGAACGGATGAGGGCATTTACATGCAAAACGCGTCTCTACTTACAAAATTTTCTCGGTAAGACATTTCTTCCAGAACCAATTAATTTCGTAAGTAGAGGTACCACTATAATGTGTTAATCATTTCACACATAAATCGCCCCGGAGTATATGTCGCACCCCTGGCCAAACTATGAAAATAAATTGTGATTTATAATCCAGAAAATAAGGTACTCAGTGTTGCCAATTTAGCGACTTTGTGGCTATACAGTCTTCAGCAAGTTTTCCAATGCCGAAATGACTATTAAAAAAAGCGACGAGCAACAAGTCCAGTCACTGTTTATCGCCTAAATGGAGACTCTGACAGAAGGTGCTGTTGACACTTGCACAGAGCCACCACTGGTAAGTTTATCCATATAGATATTGATTTAACACTTGATGGGGGCGTGATCACAATTTGTATACAATCAATGAAAGATCCATTTTCCAGCATGTGTAACGTTGAAGTAATTGATTTTTTTTCTTTAGATTGCACGTTTTCTATGAATTCCACATTTTCATAAATTTGTGTGTGTGACATTTCCAAGCAGGTTTTGTAAGCGTTCTAATTTATACAAAAAAATAAGTAAGCTTCATTGATCTCAGTCAGGTATTGTGTATTGGAGAATAGTGAAAGAGGGGCCCCTTCTGGTCATGAGCTTTCAACGCAGCAGTCAACTTTAGCCACATTGAGTTTAACTTTCACACTTCTTTCCCTTCTTTTCACCAGTTGTTGAATCATATGCACTTTGGTTTCTAAAAATGTCTTTTTCTTTTATGCAGTCATCAGATTTGAGGAGAGAGAAGCGGAACTCAAGAAGGAGTACAGTGCTCTCCACCAGAGACACACAGAGGTATTCTAGTTCATGAGATCAGCACGCAAGTGCGTCTTCATACGCTTACAGTAACAGCCCAACAGTTTTCGTGTTTTAAGTTGACATTGTATTCAAATGAGTTAGAAATTAACCATTGCTTGTCGGAATGTTATGCTATGCAAGCAAACACCCTCAATGTAAATAAATAGGTTCAATGAACAAGAGCCTCATCTACAAAATATAACATTTCAATCACGTCACATTTTAACAGATGATCATATTGATGATGAAAACTCATATTATTTGACCTCACCTTGCAGATGATCCATAGCTACATGGATCACTTGGAGCGAACGAGACACCAGCATACAGTAACAGCAGAGCCCTCCGATTCAGGAGCAGGCACATCTGCGAGAACGCGGTAAGGCCCGACAAGAGGTCAGCTCTTCATATTGTGTCAATGTGCTGTTGACGCAAGTAGTAAATAGCTGACCATGATCCTGCCATTTTCGTGGAAAATTACGTCATCGTTAATCGAGATCAAATCCATTCAATGCTGATCACAAAAAACAATCACTCACAGCTCATACTTTTCATCCTGCAGCCATTAGCGACCAGACTGTATGTGGTGCAGTGCCCTATTTTATGACTGTCAAAATATAGTGAGCTACTTTCCATTCTAGTTTTCATTTAACATTTTAAGACATGCTGATGAACCTGGGAGCGCCCTAAAGTTTTTGCTAACATCCCAGTCTGCCCCCCTTTAGAAGTGGCTACTTGGCCACTAAGCAATCTTGTGATCTCTGTCCAGATGTTTACAACATCCCTTTGGTTTCCCACAGGCTCTGCTGTATTCATTTTTTATTTTTCTTGTTTCAGTTCCGGTCAGCAGTAGTCAGTCACTTTTCTGCCACCCGGAAGTACCCTGGTGCCTGCTGTTTTCCATCATATTATGAGAGAGGAAAAATAATAACATTCCCCTCATGGCTCAGTCTCTTGTGTACACAGAACCTATTTTTGCTTTAAAGTCACTAGCAAAGTCTCACACCCACATTCAGACAAAAACGTATGATTTTGGGAGCAGCGCAGCCAGGAAGCTACTGCCTGAAGTGAGGCATATGGAGCAAGCTGCATCAGCATCCGACGAGAGAGAGGGAGAGGGGAGAGTGGGAGGGAGAGAGAGAAACGTCAGAGCATTCTGTACTGCACAGTGCCTGCTGTGTCACAGCTCGGCAAAGGACAGGAAAAGGGACAGAGCAACCAAAACAGGTTCACCAGAGGAAGACAGTGGTGGAGTTAACCAGCCTCTCCTTGCTCTCCATGGAGGATTTTCTTCTCTCCGTCTGCTGCTCTGCTTAGCTTAGTTTCTGCTCCCGAATTTCTGTTATTGTTACTGCTGCCTGCTTCCATTCACTGTCTCCCTCACAACTGAGTTCTTTTCTGCTGTGGCTCCTAGCTACAAGGCTGTACAACAGCTAACAGTGTTTGATTTTGGGTCCAACTTTGGTTAAATCTGTTCTGTGGTACCCATCGCTGCGTTTCACTGCTTCGTCTCCCTCAGACGTTTTGACACGATTTTGACGTGGGGCCATGAGCCCCGGGCGTATGCTGCTTTTTGTTTTTGGCTTTGTTGGGGGAGCGGTGGTCATCAATTCTGCTATACTGGTGTCTCTGTCAGTGCTGCTTCTGGTTCACTACTCTGTTGCTACTGGCGGCTTACCTGCCCTGCCATCTTTGTCCACCATACAGCGTCCCAGCAGGTACATTTATGTGCGTAGAAATGGCTTTGAGTGGAATAGTGTGTCTTTCCTGCTCGCCAGCCACTGTAATATTAACAGTTGAAGCCTGTTTGAATGGTAAACTGGCACTGTGTTGTTCCCCTGGAGGTAGTGCTAGGCGATGTGGATAAAAACTTATAGCACGATAGAGGCCATTTTATATCACGATAACAATACACCACAATATATTTTCAGTTTTTCATCGATCTGTGATCTGATCCGGTGTATGTTCTACTATTGTTGTGGTATCGCCCAGCACTAACCGCCACAAAAAGTAGGCCAAAAAAGAAAATGTAGGGAGAGAAAATGCATCTAGTCAGACTTGTGTTGTCAAATAATACTGGTAAACAAATATTGCCCAAATTTTTAAATAATAAAAATACATTTTAGAAGCACATCAACTTTTCTAGATTGTTTTTGCGCTGATTCAGAATCTTCCCCGTTTTATTTTCTCTAGCACATCTGGTTTTCATAATAACATAATATGTAATAGTTATGAATTAAGGGTTAGGTTCATCAGCAGCTGGATTTTGTATTTTTTTTTTTTTTTTTTAAGTCATAGTCATAAATAAAAAAGAAAATGTTTTAATTTGTTTTGGGACACATCAAGGCATCTCTGATTAACATTTGCCGTTGACGAGTTTAAGCCAGCAAATAAATGGATTTGTTATTGTGGGGGTTGATCAAGATTGCTGGAGGACCTTGAGCAGGCTGTTTTTTTGCTCAAGCTATACTTACAAATCAGTTACAGTCCCCTTCAGCCTTTTATTACAAACCAAAAAAGAGGATGTATGACTCGCTAAAATTTTGGGGGACCCTAAATGTAAATAACAGTGGTTGGCCTTCATCAACCGCTGCACTTGACTGATCGGGAATATTTTGGTTTTGTTTAGGACAAGTCAAGATTAGTGCCCCGCGAGTGACCTGTCCCGCACTCTGCTGTGCCGTTTCCATTGTATTTGGAACACTGCCGTTCCTCACTGCTGCTTTATCGCAGCTACCATTGTTCTCCTGTATGGTCTCCATCATATCTCTTCACTGAAAGGGAAAGCCAGCACTGAGTTCATACAATGTTGCCAGGGTGTTGCAAACGTTTCCCGCCATCATCTGATGAGCCCTTTTCTTTTAGAAACACAAAAGCTTGCTAAAATGCTGATCCTTAAGATGTAGTGTCTTTCATTTTGTTGCTGTAATTTTTAATTTGGCAGCCTCATCGAAATATGGAATTCCTTCAAATTTTTAATCATCCACAGTTCGTTGTATTGTTCATTTGATGATTCTATGTACTCCAGCCTCTTGTTTCAAGGGAACAGGTTATTTTATCCTTGTGGTTCTTATGAACTTGCAATTGTAACTTATGTCCCTCTCTCTTTTTTTTTGCTCTCATCTGAATTAGTGTTCCATTTCTCGCTCTTGCCATTGTGCATCTAGGAAGGATCGGCCCATCTCCATGGGCATCTTTCAAGTCCCAGGGATTGATGGCATGAGCACTGACCTCCACAGGGACCCCGTGGATGTCCAGGCTGAACCTTGGAGATTCAATAACATCAGCCATCCAAGGTCTAACACCAGTCTCAAGGTATGCAACAGGCACTTCACAGTTACCAATCGAGGCCGTCTTTTTTTTATTTTTTTAAATGATGATTTCTCATTAAGTTAAATTCAAATGTGAAGTAGTTTTCTTTCCAACGAGAGATGACATCATTACTTGGCTCAGTTGAATGAGGGTTCTAAAAAGTTTTTACACTTCTGTTTTAGAGAGGATTTCGGAGGTGTCGAGAATTTTGAACAGCTAGAGTTGCCACTGAGTGGCCTGGAGCCCAGTCAGTGAGGGAAATAGTGCCATTCAGGGAAGGAGGGAAGGACAGAGAGTCTTCACATTGTTGCTCTTAGAAACCAGACTGCAAGTGAGACGACATCAATATAAATGACTTGCTGAAACCAACGTTAGGACCACCACATCTAATTAGAGCTCTCTTAAAAATTGGGTCTTTACAATGATGAAAATACTCAGTTTTTGTGCTTTTGAAGCACACGATGTTTGACTGTGGGTTGTAGATGGCAATGCGCTACAACATACTGACAATATGTCATATTTTGTTTACCTCATTTAATCTACTTGACTCTTTCAAAATATAACACACAACTCATTGTATGATGCAATTCTACACCACATAAATACATCAACCTTAATTAGCATATTGTTAAGACAGAGTTTTATATGTGCCGTTTTATTTTTCAAACGTTCAACACCTTTATGAAAAGGCACATCAGAAATTGAAGTCCTGAAATTCCAATGTCCCTGGGAATAGTATACGGTAGCATATTTGTTGCCGCAATTTATTTATTTAACTTATTGATTTGTTTTTTCTTTCCATCAGCAGAGTTCTTATCGATGCTGTGGATGTTCAGAATCAAAACAAAGCAGGGTTGGAGCACTTGCTTACGCCTAAGAGCTGCGGAAACTTTGTTTGATATTGAAAATATGTCATTTCTGACAGAGTCTCCTCGCCAGTTGGACTCATTAGGGGTGATCACACGGCAACTTTAACTCTAGAATTTATTTTGTGATTTCCTCTCTTGATTTTCTGTTTGGCGCATTATGTTTGCTTTTCTGAGTCTCATTGAAGTCATCGTTGATTTATGTTTTCAGGGGCGATCATTGAACGCCTCTCGAGCAGAAGGCACGGAGACGGAGAAGGACGCGCCCGTAGTCGCTTGAGTTAAACAAATTAATAAAGTGTATGTTTTAAAAAGAACCAACACGACAGCTCTTTGTTTTATTTCCGTATTAATACTATCGTATTGCACGGCCGCAGAAACTGCCGTGTGAACGCAAGTGGGGCTGCACCGGGGTTAACACGCTTCTCTTTAGTCAGCAGCTTTTTACGTGTGAACGCTCCACAAAATTTACACCGGTGTCAGATATATCGCAACAAAAGACGTCGGTGCAGCACCGATGCAAATGTGTGCCGTGTGAACACCCCTATTGACACAATACAGTACTGCCATGTGATCACTTGTAAACGCGTTTTTCTGTACGGCGTGGTTTTATTTTTCCTATTAGTCACCAAACGATATGAAGTACTGTTGCACAGTTGAACCACTCAACTCTTTACTACCGTTTGTTGCTGTATGTGAACTTAATCCGGCCTCTGTCGTTCTTCAGTTTGATGTCCCAAGTGGAAGGTTCAAATTACAGAATCAAAAGTCTGATCAGGTAGCCCTATTTTCAGGCTATGTGTGTGTGTGTGTGTGTGTTTGTGTGTGTGTGCGGTGGAAAACAATGAAGATGCAAACCTGTGATTTTCTCAAACTAACCTACCTTGCTTGGCTTGAAGCAACAAGTCTAGACATTAGTTGAGCAACTAACTACAAAGTACAATATGGTTGACTGCTTCAGTAAACATCGTGTCATACAAGTGGTTTTACATATTGCTTGTAATTATGAGTTTACTCCCGAGTTCGTGAATTTACTACAAACTCCCTAGGTGGGTGATGGTTAAAGTTAAATTCGGTCACGTGAGAACAGACATCAGAAACCGAAGAACCCCTGTAATCGACTCATGCCTGTCTCGTGCATCAACATGGCTGTATAAATGTAAATGACTTGTGTACTTCCCACTCCTCTTTAGGATGAACTGGCCAACATGAGCCGCGATGGACCTAAATCCAGCACTCCAGCCAAGGAGGGAGGCGTCTCCAAACATGTTCCTTCACCAGCACAAGGAGGAACGTACAAAACCAGCACCCATGTGTCTCAGACGGGTAGCTTGACAACAAACTCCACCTCAACCATGAAAAGTGGTCAATGCCAAACTTCAGCGCCGACATCGCCTGGTGGCGATACAAGTCCTTCAATTGAATCTGTAGCTACACCTCAGGGACACGGTGATCGCAACAAGAATCTGGACGGCAGCATTGGTAAACCAAACAGTAAGAGCATTTCAACCGTGCAAGGTCAACTCGGACAGGAGAATGAAGAAACTGCAACTATGCCTCATGAAGGCAACGGTAACAGCACTGCAACTCGGAGCACACAAAAACACATTTTACAAACGCTTACTCAACTTTGATGTTTCTCGGCTGCTTGTGTCAGATGGCAAAAACAATCTGGAAAAGTCTGAGGTATTGGCGATTATCGAGTCCACTCCTGAGTTGGACATGGACCTTGATGGCTGCCAAGGAACAAGGTACAGCTTTATGACCGATATCCAATAAAATACAGTCATACCTCGGTTTTCGACAATAATCCGTTCCAGAAGGCTGTTCGAAAACCGATGTGTTCGAAAACCGAAACCACGCTCTTTTTAAAAAAAAAAATCTTTATTGATGACGTCTGCTCACAATAGAACGCTACACGAGGAAGCGTCACTTCCTCGTCTCCCCGAGGAAGAGTCACTTCATCGTGTAAGGAAAGCGGGAGGAGTCAAGTGGCACATTGAAGTACGCTCAGTTTAGTCGAAAACCGATTTGGTCTAGAACAGAGACGTTCGAAAACCGAGGTTTGACTGTAATAATGACCTTTGTTCTAGCTAGTTAGCTATAGCTGTAATAAGTACAACAAAAAATATTTTTTGCAAATTTGTCAGACAGGCAGCACAGTGTTAAGCATGTGCCTCACAGTTCTGAGGTTCAGGCCAGGGTTCTATTCTGTTCTCCGGAATTCCTGTGTGCAGTTTGCGTGATTGCTCCTGTTTAGTTGAGTAATCGTTGTTTGTTTGAATGTGCCCTGCGATTAGTTAGTGTCCAGGATGTAGATTGCCTCTGGTTTAAACTCAAGCCGGGACATGTTCCAGCTCAAAAGTGACCCACTTGAGGTGGAGCAATATAGAAATTGTCCAGTATAGATGAAAAATTGTGAGGCCTCATGTGGCCTTAGGTTAGCAGTGGGCAAATAATTGTTTTTCCAAAGGAGTCACTTGAGAAACTGGAACGGTGATCAAAGGCCACGCCAACATGCTCAACAGTGTTCCTTATTATTTATTTGAGCATGAACTTGTCTTGCTTTTCCTTTAATAAGCTTGTTTAGATATGGTATAGATGTTGTTCTAATTTGGAAATTTTAAACACATTTTTCATAAAATTAGAAGGATTCAAATTACTTCTACACTTTAACATCCATTCGGACTGCTTACGGACACGTTACCATTTTACAATCGCAATATTTAATTAGCGTTTACAAAAATCACGTCTCCAATTTGCATAATTTTTTCTGTGTGCTCACATTTCGAGCACTAATTGCCAACTCACATTAGCTAACCTGGTTGGGACGGACAGACAAACAGGCAGACAGACAACTGCTAGCATTTTCGCTTGTCTCTTCCTTGCAAATTAGCCTGTTGGCATGGAAGGATATGTTCGAGAACTTGGAAAAGTCTCTAAATATAGAGAAAATGTCGCTAAGTTTGCAACCCTGCAGACAAAAATTCTAGTCCCGGTTTACTGCCTTGCTTGCACTGACCTACATGCCGTTAAAAAAAAAAAAAAAATCTTTTGAGCCAGATGTTTATCAATTGGATTGTATGGTAGATAATAGTATGCCTTGTTCACCATGTTTGTCGTTGTTTTTTTACCCCCCTCTCTTAATCTGTCCAGCACACCCACTAAAGGTGGCGTAGAGAATCTAGCATTCGATCGGAACACTGACTCTCTCTTCGAGGAGTTGTCCTCTGCTGGAAATGACTACATAGGAGATGTTGATGATGGAGCAGACCTTTTAGGTAATTTGCCTTGCTCGCAAATTGTGTATATTTGGCCGCCATTGCAGTTATCTCCGCCTATCATTTTCATGAAATGTCTTTGGTTTTGGCTGCTGGGCTTTATCAACCCGACAGATGAATTTTCTGGTGTGTATCATTTAAGAATAGATAATCTCCACCATCGGTTTATATGTTTTCTTTTGTCTTCTGTAATATTCTGTTTGGCTTTAGATATTTTTGTTCGTTGTGTTTTTGTGATTACAGTGGTGACATTGTGTTTTTAGAGTAGAAATCACGGGATAAGACCGTCAAGTTTACAAATATACTGATAATCTGATCAATAATGTTTCTAATTTGAATCCGCAGACTACAATTTTTTAGGTAAGACATAGTTTAGTATAGATGTCGCAAACCTGTCTTCATATACGTTATAATGATTTTTAAAAACAAAGTAAATACATCAATTACAGTTGATGTCAACGTGATTTTTCAGGAATGGGTCGTGAAGTCGAACATCTTATCCAGGAGAATGCCCAACTTCTGGAGACAAAGTTAGTACATGGAATACACTGAATAGGTGGTGGTATGATTTATGTTTTCACTCTAGACTTTTACTGTAGAGGTTCTGTCACTCACTGAAGCAATCAATTACTGTGAGGTAGTTTGAAATAGATGAAGCACATCTAGTGGGGCAAACCACTAAGGTTGCTGTACAGCAAGGGTCATTAACCGTTTTGAAACTGAAAGGTATTTCTTGGCTACTGATTGATCCAAAGAGCTCCCACTTTAAAGCACACTTTGGAAATCACTATTTTGGTCCACTTCTTTTTAACTCATTCACACCCAAAGACGTTTTTAAACGTCTTTTCAGACTTGGTCCAGAATTGGCTGGTACTGAATGAGTTAATTTGATATTATGAATTTTAGAATTACTGATTATTGATGTGAAGACACTGATCATGTTTGATTTCTCACAATTTGTGTCAGCAAGGATTCAACAGCGTATGGTAGAGATTGCTATCAATAAGCAGCACTTTATTTCTATAAATCTCAGCACGTGTTTACTTTGGAATGTTCACTTCGATAAATACCCTAGGAAATCACAATGTACCATTTCTGGTGAGCTATGTTTAAATGATGCCTACTTGCAAGTCATATAGGGCGAACGGGTACCCATAGGCACCATGCTGATGACCCCCTGCTGTACAGTGTCGACCAAGGGGTTTGAAAGAAAATTCTGCCCCCACCTTTGTTTTCAGAAATGCCCTCAACGTGGTCAAGAATGACTTGATTGCTCGAATGGACGAGCTGTCCTGCGAGAAGGAGGTCCTCCAAGGGGAGCTTGACGCTGTCACTCAGGCCAAGATCAGACTAGAGGAGAAGAACAAAGATTTAGAAGACGAACTGAAGAAGTCTGTGAATTTTTGCAGTTTCACATTTTGATCTCGCGTCGCACAATGCGCAATTGACGTTGAAAATGTTCCTTCTTTTTAGAGTTCAAGCTGAACTTGGGAACAGCAAACACAAGTCTAAGACTGAGAATGAGGATGATGTGAGTTCTTGGTCATCTACAGTACTGTCTGCATGTGTGGGACTGCTGGATTGAGAGAAGAAACCAAAATTGAACTAGATTGAATTGACTTGTCTCATATGTAATGAAAAAAAAATCCGTATTAAACCCCTTTCTGCACCCTGTAACCTGATAACATGATTAGCTGTCAACTGTAGTAAACCGCTGTTCATGAAAGGGTTAACACACAAATATTGATGTTGGTTGTACAGAGTGATGTGCCCACAGCACAGCGGAAACGTTTCACCAGGGTGGAAATGGCCAGAGTCCTGATGGAGAGGAACCAGTATAAGGAGAGGCTGATGGAGCTGCAAGAGGCTGTCAGATGGACAGAGATGATCCGGTAAGATTAGAATAACATCAGACAATATTGTAATATCAGCTTTATCTTATTAAACGATTTAAAGAAGGCTTTCAAACTGAGGTGATTTGGGCTGTGTTTTTGGACAACTTAATAATATTTACAGAGATTAAACATTCAGAGTCAAAATCACTCATGGTGACCGTTTTATCCCCTAATATTTGTACTGTATCTACCGTATTTTCCGCACATAAGTCGCACCTAAAAGCATTCGATTTTCAGAAAAGCCGACAGTGCGCCCTATAATCCAATGCCCCTTATAAATTGTGTTAGTTACAGTCTCTTGATAGTCCTCATAGAGTTGTTTCCCTGTTAGTGTTCCAATACCATCTGGTGGTGATTATTAGCAGGAACCAATTGGAATGTAAAAGGATTCTGCCCGCCACTAATTGACATGTGCATTCGCCAACATATACTCAAACAGACAACAGCTCTGCGCAGCCATGATGAAACGATAATACCAAAAGCATAGTTAACTCCTGGCTATATGATGGAAGAAGGAGACAATCAAGTGTTCCAAGGATATTTAGCCCCTTATGGGTGTGAGGCCACGAGGTTTGTGTGCCCTTTTGTTGAATCAATTGTCTTCATAATGTTTGTCTTTCATTTATTGTTTTGTAATGCCATTTGTATTTGTATGTTTCATGTCCGTGTTTGTGACCAGTTATCAAGGCTTGCCAATGAATAAACCCTGTATTTTTATAGACTTTGTATCATGCTGCATAAACATCCTAAGGGAGCTACGTATGGATCAATATTTTGATTTCTTGGACGTAGTATTTTAAATGTTCTGTAAAGCGTTTTATTACAGCTGCAGCGGTTGTATAGCCTCTATATAAATAGAGCTGTATTGTATTGTGTTGTATTCCTTTTTGCGTAGCTCCATCTAGTGGATGCATCACGTAAACCGCAGACACTATTGCAGTTTCTATTGTATGCGCCTTATAAAGCTGTGAGCCCTATATATGAAAACCGTTTTCAAATAGGACATTCATTGAAGATGCGCCTTAAAATCCAAAGCGCCTTAGAGGGCAGAAAATACGGTAGTTTATTTGAATAATTTATTTGCACTCACCATTCAGAAGATTCACAGAAATACACCAAAATATCACTTAACTAACGCACTAGCCAACTCACTGAGACTGTTAGCATCATGTTTTCTGTTTACATTCCTAAAACAAGAACCATTTATTTATTTATATATATTTTCCAACATAAGCTGTTGCTGGATGATTTTAAGATAAGAGATTAATGTATTTTTTACTCTTAGGGCATCAA